TTTTATAATGAGAGATTAGTTAGGCACTGGGTGTATTTTATCCCTGAGAGTATAGCCTGTCCTGTTGTCAGAGGATCAAATGCCCTTCACTAGGCATTCCAGACAGACCTTTGTGTTTCTGTCTTAGGAGCAGGCTTGCTGGCAATGATACCTAGCATTGCAAAATCCTTCTTAAAGCCTTTGTTTAATGCCAGAGATCGCAAATGCTTTCAGATTCTGGAGAGGTGCCAAACTGTGCTCCCGGATTAGGAGACGATGGAAGGACTCCTATAATCTGTAAACCTCATATAAGCTTGCCATTTCAAATGAATGAATTGTTTAGAGTGTTGGAAGGAGTCCAGGGATGCTTGAGTTCCTTTTTTAGCTATACAAATTCTAAGCTATTGGACTTTTATAATTACAGTCTAATTTCTGCATTATGATTTGTGCTACTTTGAGGTGAACTTGTAAAAAATTCAGCCTGTTCCTTTTGCTGCCCTCTAGGACAGATCATGGCCATGGGCCAGTTTACTTGTAGCATTTTCTTATTTGTCTTTTATGTCAAAGACATTAGTGGGAAATGTTGGTTTTTGTGCACCCTTTAGAGTGATACTCAGTTTCAATGCCTTAAAGCATTGCAGAGTGCGTGACTGGGCAGGCGTGAATAGGTAAGTCCACAGTGTTGTGATTGCTAAAGTCCCACTTAAACATAAATGTGAATACTTTTATCATGAAATACAAGATTATACCAGACTGTGGACAGTTTTTAAAAGTCCACGATGCTCTTTGGTCTGCCTCTCTCTCTGCCAGTCCAGCATTAGACTCGGAGGAGATAGGCCCAGATGGTGAACTGAGTATCATCCAGAGCAGGACAAATCTTTTTAAAGAGCTGGCCATGGTGAACTCCTGGGATTCCCAGCCTGCACCGCTGGTTTGTGGAGCCAGCCCCGCATTCTCCCTGGTGGCACCGAGGCAGTCTCTGTTTGTGGTCAGAACTCCCTGCTGTTCCCAGCCAGCCCAGGCTGCGAGTGTTTTCACACGGCTCTGGCTCTGGTGATACAAAGGGCACACAGTGCCAGCCATAACACTGAGTAATGCCGGGAGGTGCCTTCTAGAACAAACAATGTGGGTGAGCTCTGCAGAGAGGGAATACCTCTGGCTTGACATTTAAATTACTGAATTATTCAAATGAATGTCAATTAGGTGGAGTAGACTTTCTGCCTTCTGCCAGGGCACTTCCTGGATATTCGCACAGGCGAGTGTAAAATACTTTACATCAGATACAGTGCTTCCTGTCAGTACTGTTGAAAATCAGTCACAGAATGTGATTATCTGTTCCTTGGTGTTCCTTGATGTGTGCTGTATTTATATCACAGTCTGAAAGATTAGGAATCTACACACCCGTACCTGTGGCTCTGAAAGGGGTTTTGTGATCATTCTCGAACCCCACCCCCACTCCCTCACCAAATAAAATATCACAGGCCCACACATGTTATGCTTATTCCTAAATTTGACAAGACTGAAAAAGTGAGTCATGGGCATTTTGAGTCCTGCTGTCTTCCTTAGAATTGTGGATATCAAGATCCGAGAATGCTATTACTACCTTGCTTTTAACCTTCTTTGTTGACTTAGTAATTCTAGTTCAGAAAATACTTCCATCTACTCAACTCTGTCAGATGAAATTGCCAAAGTGGCATGTAGCAAATGTGAATGTGTGCCTGCATGTGTGTTCACCTGTGTGGTCATTTTGTCATTCTTACGAATTTAGGGTCTTCATTTATATTTGGATATATATAAAAAATAAATACATGCTAATTAGTTATGTGGGAATACGCAAAGTAAGAAGATTGAATGGTAGATGAGGAACAAAATAGGAAAGAGAAGTTAGGGAAGGTTTTGTACTTCCCCGTTAGCTAACTGTTGGACTCAGCTCAGGGTTCTTTCATATCAGAGATTGAGTTAATTATTACATATCATTAACAGTTGTCTTTCCTTGCCTTTTTCCCCCGACTGTGGAGGGTAGGTTATAAAAAACCCTGGTATTTGACATCTTACTGAAAAGAATCACCAACTTACAGGTAGTTAATCCCTGGTTGTCTACATGCAACTGCAGGAAGTACATAAAGAATTTAAGGAGAGTGCTTAATAAACAGATGAATCCCTTTGACTTAGTTTGTGACCCTGCAGGATTAAAGCCTAGGTATACCACGGAGTTAGGTATAGTGAGTGAATTTTACTGAAGGTGATATTCACTTGAGGCTGTCACGTATAGTACAAATGACTGTCAGGCTCCCTGCACAGCCTATCAAAAACTAGAGACCCTGGAAAAGCAGTGCCCCTTCTGCATCTGTGTACTTAGAATTTAGTTTGGGATGGAACTTTAAAAACAGAGTTTATTTTGAGAGCACATTAGAGAAACGATTGTTGTTGTTACTTTATTTTTTAAAAATTCGGCATTTTAAAATTACAAGCACTGGTGTCCTTAATCCTTTGGTTCCCTGAACTGTCCATTTCCTCAGGACCAATGATGAGCAGGCTCTCTCTAGTCTAGCGTTGCTGGTTTATTGTTATTCTTAGTAGCCTATACGTGCAGCGAGCTGAGTAAATCATACTTGTCAATTCATTATCAGTCCATGAACAGCTCTCTCCTACTTTATTTTTATTTTGCTCCTTCATCCCAGCGCTAACCCCTTATCCCCAAACCAGTGTCAACAGGCACATACTCTTCAGTGGGTTAGGTATATATCCTGGGGTATCTATGATCTTCTAAAAATACTCAGGATTTTAAGATATATGTTTGTGTTTCAAATTTACATAAATTGCATTATTTCAGTTTTTAGCATAGTCTTTTCAATTGCCTGCCATAGATCACAAGCAAATTAGTCTGACACTATGACCTCTCCCCCTCACCCCACCCATCCACTTCCCTCCAAAGAATCATCACCTGTTGGGCAGCATAGTTGGCAGCCCTCAGCCTGCTTTGTGCCATTCAAGAGTGGCAAGCATGTCTAGACTCCCTGGAAATATTATCTTTCAGCTCTCTTTTGGCAAGTGTAAACTTTTTGCTGGATTATGTCAACAGATATACATGTTTCTCATCCCCATAGAAATAGATTGGTGCTGGTATTTCCTTCGGATTTCTCCAGGCAAGGAACATAAAGACTATCTCTTTGCTCATTAAAACTTTTGCTCATTAAAAATGTTTGACGGCTCTTGATTCTCAGGGGTGAGACTGGTGACATACATAGACTGTCAGCGGCTATTTTGGATTTTGTGCTTTCAGGCATGTCTTTGCTCTTGGATGAGCCCCTTGTGGTTTTCAAAGGAACTAGCAAGTCAATTATAAATAGAAGGCTGTGTCTGTGTGTCTGCATGCACTTACTCTGTGGGACGAGGCACCCACATTACAGTGGGCAGTGAACTATTTTTCCACTTCTTTGAAGAGGGAAGAAGAAAGATTAAGAATGCTTTTCTCTTTTTGAGATAACCCACATCTCTACACACACCCACACAAATCTGTGTAAATGAACTTGACATTTTCAAAGACCTTACCTTAAGGTCTCCTCTGGAAAGCACAGCCACCCGACCTGTTATTTTAAGAAAGAAGCATTTATCTCACAGACCCACTACTGAGGGTTCAGGGATTAGAAGGCAGCCTCTATGTGCCATAGACCTTTGGAGGGAGCTCTGAAAACGGAATTTCCTTATATGAGCAGTGCTTTGGCAAAAGAGGTCTCAGCCAACTAATCAGTGGCCTCTAGGACTTGGCTGTTTACATTTTATCCTCTCTTTCCTTCCCCACTAGTAGAAACTGTGGGACCAGCAAGTCTAAACTAATCATACTGACAAGGGAAGAGAAAAAAGTAATGTGAAAATGAAACTGCAAATAAGTATTCTCAGAAAGAGACAGTTAAGCGGAGTGATTAGGTGTGCTTCCCTGATCATCCGTTTCTGCCTCTTTCCATTGCACCTTGAACTTCCCACGTGTGTGTTCTTCCAGTGGTCCCACCTGTCACCTTACTGTTCAAACATTATTTGGTTCTCTTTGTCTCCTTGTGTCCTCACTCTTCATATTTGGCACCATTTTTTTTTTTTCTGCCAGCCAAAAATTCTTAAGCAGCTATTAATTCCCACTATAATCTATGTAAACTTTAGTGTAACCACTATGGAAAAAGTTAGTCTAGGTATCTAGCTGGAAATATTGGTACCATGGATTGTAATTATAGATTGTGCAACCCTGCAAACTCTTATTATATTACAGGTTGAACATCCCGAATCTCAAAACCTGACATTTGAACTGCTCCAGAATCCAGACCTTTTGGAGCATTGACCCAATGCTCAATAGAATGCTCATTGAAGCATTTTGAATTTTGGAGTTTTGGATTTGAGATGCTTAGCCGGGATAGATGCAACTATTCCCCAATCCAGAAAATTTTTAAATTTGAAACGTTTCTGGTCCCAAACATTTTGAGTAAGGGATACTCAGTTTGTGGTATATTTCTGCATGTAGCTGCAAGAATGTCAGCATTCCTTGTTTTACTAGTTGATGGGGATTTGTACAGAGCTAGCAAGAATTGGTATTAATAGCTTCCATGTATTTAGGAGCTGTTTTTTTTTTTTTTTTTGAATAGAATAAAGGTGATAAACATTATGTTCCAGTAAAACATTTTATTTTGATGCAATAACTGGGATCTGAGAGCCAATCGAGATGAAGGTTATATGAACGCCACAGGGGAGAGGCTCATTTTCAGAAGTCTGTGGACAGATGATAGCCGGTCTTTGTCCTAATATGATCTAAGGGGGTGCACAGCTTATATAAATGAATCGCTATGTTGAGAGGCAATTATTATTTGTTGGTTGGTTAGGTGACAAGATCACAGAATGTGGACCTCATGGTTGATGGTGACGCTTAACTTGACTTTCTGTTCAATAGAAGTGTTTGGAATGGTCATTCCCTCAATGAAGGCGAAACTCATACAGTAATTCTTTTTTTTTTTCCCCTTCCTTTCTCTCCCTTGCAGATGAGAAGCCCAAGGTCAACCCCAAACTCTACATGTGTGTGTGTGAAGGTCTCTCCTGCGGTAATGAGGACCACTGTGAAGGCCAGCAGTGCTTTTCCTCACTGAGCATCAACGATGGCTTCCACGTCTACCAGAAAGGCTGCTTCCAGGTTTATGAGCAGGGAAAGATGACCTGTAAGACCCCGCCGTCCCCTGGCCAAGCTGTGGAGTGCTGCCAAGGGGACTGGTGTAACAGGAACATCACGGCCCAGCTGCCCACTAAAGGTTCCCATAGACTTTTCTATTTCTAGATCAAGGGATTTTGTTAGTGTTGTCCTGAGTCTGTGTGGGTTAAAGATCTAAGTAGCTATGATGCATTCCACCTACATTTTGAATCAGAGGCAAAGAGCTAAAAGGAAGGTAGCCCTGGGTGAAGAAGAGAAAGGACCAGCCTTTTGGCATCTAAAAGAAGGATGGGCCTTTTGGGGGAATGTAAGCAAGATGATATCCATCTTGGGGACAGCTTGGCTGACCAGTTAGCTCTCTCTTGGTTGCTGTGACTCAGGTGAACAGCTCCCAGTACCTTTTTAGGTTACTGACCTGTGATGTCATTCATAATTTCTGAAACAATTCTGTTAGTAAATACTCATCTCTATGTCAAGTGTGTAGGGAGGAAAACGGAACGGACTGATGACTGAGTGGAATGCCTTTACTGTTTTATGAGGAAGGAGACAAAAGAAGGCTCACTGATCTGTTCTCCCATATCTGATGCCCAGTGACCCTATCACTGAAACTGGAAGCAGGATGAGATTTCACACAAACCCTGTAGTTTATGTGGAATCTTCTCTCTACCACCATTACAGATTACATATGCTAAGAGAACCAGTCCACCTCTGAAACTGTTTCCCTATTAAATGAGCCCTAAATTGCAATCTTAAAGTCTCTGCAAACATTAATGTAGACTCATTCTAAGCCAAGTTTATTCTCTTACCATATAGTACATTTTTAATAGGTTTAGTTATTTAATTTTGTACTCAGAAAAAAAGAAAGAAACCAAAAAGTGGAGGAGAGGTAACAAGGAGCATCCAAAACTAGAAATGTCAGCCAGCAAGGAAGGAGGCAGAAGAACAAAAAAGCTGATGCAAGATCATGTTCTAGTAATTTTGAAGTTATGGTGATGACTTGAAGGCGTATGGAAAAGGTTAAATTCTGACAAGCAAATAGGACTGAATAATCAAAGAGGGTTTTAAAAGAGATCAAGTATTTACATGGTTAAAACTAAAAGGTTCTTGATGGAATAAAATTTACTGTTATATTTTGTGAGTTAAATTTTTATTAATTGGGTGAATAGACATGAACAAATGTCTGAATTCATACAAAAATTATACCAACAGTGTGAAGTTTCTCATCTGCAGATTACTCTGCTAGACCTTGAGTTTTAATAGAAGATTTTTTTTTTTCTTTTTTAGTTTAAGGACATTCTAATCTGATTAGGGTGGCCACAGTTTTTATAGTTCCATGTTGCATTTTGTTAGTTTTACACTTTCTCATATGAATGACATATGCCATGGAGTATGATGTATGTCAAGCTGTTGATTAGTTGGTCTTGGAAAGTTAAAGAAATATGTAAGGGAAGTTAGGCTTGTGATTGGATGGCTGAAGAGACCAGTAATATGGAAATGGGTAAGGCCTGTGTAGGGAAGAACAGGACCTGATGACATAATGTCATGAAGAGGTCTGAACCAAGGGAGTGAATCAGTGATGAATGTCTGAATAAGTGAGTAAACAATGAGAGGAATGAGTGGGTTCCTAGGCAGAAATTGTGATGTGAAAAATGAATGAGAAATCAGTAGTAGACACCCAGGATATGTGAAAGACAGAGGCCACAGATGGGTAATTTGGTTTTAGCTCAGGTAGCCCTTTCTCTTAAGGATAGTACAGTATCTGTAAGGGCTTGATGGTGAAACATACCAAATCCAAGTTAATAAGAGTAATGTCAAAGATTTGTATAGTACTTTATATTTTAAAAGCACTCTCACATTCATGCATTAATACAATTGATTCTCAGTGGAATTTTTTTCAAGTTCTAGTTGTGTCTAATTGAATGATGGTTAAAATGTCTGGGCCATTGGCCAGGTATTAGGAAGTGTTTTAGTTTTAATACTTCGTGAGTTGTGAGACTGTGTGGTCAGAATCAGGAGCCACTTGTTAGGATATTGGTTATGTTAATAATAAGTAAGCAGTGATCCTTACAACTAATTCCCCTTTTCCCCCCACGACTCCAGGAAAATCCTTCCCTGGAACACAGAATTTCCACTTGGAGGTCGGCCTCATTATTCTCTCTGTAGTGTTCGCAGTATGTCTTTTAGCCTGCCTGCTGGGAGTTGCTCTCCGAAAATTTAAAAGGCGCAACCAAGAACGCCTCAATCCCCGAGATGTGGAGTATGGCACCATTGAAGGGCTCATCACCACCAATGTTGGAGACAGCACTTTAGCAGTAAGTCATGACCCCACAGGGAATCCCAAGCATAAGGAAGATGTCTGGAGACATGTTCTTATTTCAAGCATGAAACACTAACCAGTAATGAGTGACTGAACAGTGTACACACATGCTGTTGGTTACTTATGTCCTAAACAAGCACATGCTGGCACCTGTGTAGTCTTCCCATATCATAACAGCCATTTTAGACAGACATTTAAATAAGGGATGGGATTTATTTTAGTAGTGTTGGTAGTTACTTTTCTCTGAGGAGTAAAGCAAAAAAGAATGGTTGCCTACAATTTTGGAGGGTTGGAATTTGTGGTCTTCAGGTACTCTATTTTTAGCCATAAAAGTGCTCTTTGAAAAAGGCACCTTTTGCTTAATATTAAAAATTAATTTCCTTTCTAGATTATTTCAACACCCTGTAATTTAAGGCTTAAAAACTTGCCTTCCAAAAAAAGCAGCTTTTAAATTTTGTATGCTCCTGTGGTGCCCCCTTGTGGAGTGCAGTCATTTGGTTAAACCGGTGTTGTCCAATAGAAGCATGTGCATCACCTATGTAATTTAAAATTTTCAAATAGCCACCTTAAAAACAAATGAAAAAACCCAAAAAGTTTCTTAAAAGTAGAATTAATTTTAACAGATATTCAACCAAATATATACCATTTTTGTCATTTCAATGTGTAATTAAAAAATTATTAATGTAAATTTTACATTCTTTCTGCTTTTGAAGTAAGTTTTCAAAATCTTGTGTGTATTTTACACCTATAGCATATATCAATTCACACCAACCACAGTTTCCTTGCTCATGGCAATGTGTGGCTAGTGACTTACTCATTGGACTGCACAGTGTTAGAAACCATTGTATTTACACATTAAAAAATTATTCTTTTGCATATTTTTAAATGATAAAATCACATTAAAAAGTGACTGTCTCCTTTTATTTACCTTTTAAAATTGCTTACCAAGTGTTCATTTTAAAGACGCTTTGAACTTTAAGTGGGGAAAGGGTATCACTTGCTCTAAATAGAAGGTTATCATAAAGTGCAAAAGAAAAAATAATAGCATTCTATATGGATATTATGCTGAGTCTGATGCTTACTTTGAAAAGATTTGAGATTTGTGGGTGTTAAGAGAGTGCAAGAGACATGCCAATACCAATTTGAGACTCTCTCCTTGTCACAATCTGATGAATTGAAAGACAATCAAAGTAATAACTTTCTAATGTGATTCAGTGTTACTTAATGCCATTGCCCATGCGTATTTAAAATAATTTTGCAATAAGTCTTGTTCTGCTAGACAACAAGCTTCAAAGTGTCTGACAGTTTGGCAGTTACACTTGCCCTGCAGCTCCCCTTATACTGGAGAAGACTTCCCCTCACCATTGGCCATCTGGGTAGCACAGATGCTACACCTGGACAGTTGCAGGACCCACCTTTGGCAGGTTGTCACAAACATTTGGTAGTGCCTGATATGGGCTGGGAAACATCCCATTCTACCACCTGCCTCATCACTGGGCCACTTTTTGGTATGTAAAAGGGGGAAGTAACCTTCTGTAGCTTCCATTTACCTACTGTTTAAACTGTGGCACAGTGGAACTGGGGAAAGAGAATGCAGTATAAGGACATTTCATTTCAAAAAGTAGAGAAATACAATTTTTTTTTTGTTAGCTATATACTTAGAAGTCTATTTCAAGCTTTAAGGGAAATTAAATGAGTTTATTGAGTTAGTGGCAAGAAGATGTGAGGATGAATCCTGACAAAGCTTTAGCAAAGCAAGATTCTAAAATAGGTTAGTTAGAACTTCATTCCTCAGAGCTGCTAACATAACTAATTACCAAGGGCAATAATGGGAATATCTGGTATAAATTACTGTTTAAATAGCTTTTAGAATTTTGAGAGAGGAATGGAGCATATGCCAAAATAGTCCTTTAAACTCAACCATGTCATGTGACAGTGTATCACGATATCATAACACAGTAAAGAACACTATTGCAAACAAGTTGTGATTATTGGTCTACATACTTGCTTATTTAAGCAATATGCTCATTTGCATGTTTCAACAAAGCATACCTTTACTAAGCTGCACGTCTACATTGAAAAACGAGCCTTGGCCATGCATGGTGACTCACGCCTGTAGTTCCAGCACTTTGGGAGGCCAAGGGGGAAGATCACTTGAGACCAGGTGTTCGAGACCAGCCTGGGCAATATAGTGAGACTCTGTCTTGAATTAAAGAAAAGAAAAGAACAAAAAGAAGGCTTGGCATCTGAGAGTTGAGATATATGTTTGTTAGTCTTGGGTTGATTATTTATTTTTCCTTCCTTAGGTCTATGAACAGGGTTTAGAAGCAGGATCATACATTATGAAAAAAATAACACATTAGTTTAATTTTCAGAATAATTCTTCTCAAAAAAGAATGAATGAATAAGGAGAAAAAAGAACCACAAGAGAGAAAATGGTTAGGGAGATATGAAACTCTGCTTCATCTACACTCATTTTCTTGTTGATTATCCCTTTTGTGGTTTTTAAGGGTTCTAAATTTCTTCCGTTGGATGTTCAGCTTTTGGTAATTTTGCCGATCAACAGTACTTCACAGTGGTGCTCAGAGGAAGTGAAAGAAGATGAAATTCATACAAATCAATGTATTGCTTTAGTAGGCCAGCCAAAATGTTTGGGGAAGGGTGAGCTTTGGGAAATATTAACTCAATATTACTGCAACCCTACCTTTATCACCCATCGGCACAATATTGTTTATTACAAATAACCTGTGCCTGATACCTGCTTCTTGGCTTATGTTGAGAGTAAGAAGGAAAACTTTATCAATGAACTAACTGGGAATCTTTTTGCCAGCACCTTCATTTGTAGACATTAACTTGGGGCACTGGTTTTATGTTTTCAATGAAAGCTTTATTTGTTTTCTTCTCTGATTTGTGAGTGATTCACATTAAGAAATGACAAGTAAGTGTTAATATAGTTTTGCTCCTCACCTACCTAAAAGGAAACCTCCATCCAGGCAGCCCATTGCTGCCTGAGCTTACCAATTTAATGATCCACATGGTCATTGGAGTCTTTTCGTTACAAATCACATTAGAGTTGTTTGTTCCTTATTCCTAGTTTGTTTGTTCCTAATTAGAGTTCCTTAGTTGGTATGGCAACTAAAGTGAATCATTTGACAGATACTTAGTGAGAATAGCAGAATATGGTAAATTATACCCAGTTCTTGAAGTTGAAGGGACGTCCCCCCCCTTTCTCTTCCACCTGCTATTCTCTCTACTGCTTCTCTTGTGCTCATCTCTGCTTCTTGGGCTTTCTGATTTACACCTTCAACTTTGTCGGCTCAGCTTCTTTCATTATATATTTTATTTGGAAACTCTGCATATAAGAAAGGACTACTTATCCTTTGGGAAAACCTATGATATATTAGGTGAAGTGCTAGCTTCTAGTATTCCGAAGAAATAAAACCAGTCCTGGCCAGGTGCGGTGGCTCATGCCTGTAATCCCAGCACTTTGGGAGGCCAAGGCAGGCGGATCACCTGAGGTCAGGAGTTCAAGACCAGCCTGACCAACATGGAGTAATGCCGTCTCTACTAAAAATACAAAATTAGCCGGGCGTTGTGGCACATGCAGAATAACTTGAACCCGGGAGGCGGAGATTGCAGTGAGCTGAGATCGTACCTTTGCACTCTAGCCTGGGCAACAAGAGTGAAACTCCGTCTCAGAAAAAAAAAAAAAAAAAGAAATAAAACCAGTCCTTCTTCCTTCCTCCAGAGGAGCTTTACATGCACATTAACAGGCCATGTGTCCCGGATTGCTGCCCTTCATGTGAGTTACAATGTCATGCATGCTAATGTTCCAAAGTGGGAGCTATATTGGTCAATTGTTTCTTTTCCCCCTTGTCTTAAACTACAGGATTTATTGGATCATTCGTGTACATCAGGAAGTGGCTCTGGTCTTCCTTTTCTGGTACAAAGAACAGTGGCTCGCCAGATTACACTGTTGGAGTGTGTTGGTAATTCTTTTTTTTCCTTTCTTTGTGGATAATATGTAGTGTGAGTTGTGTTTTTGAAGTAAAAGATGGAACTTGGAAAATCTGCTTTTTGTTACCAGTTGTTTCCTTATTAAACTTATGAGATGTGGTCTGTATTCTGTATGACTCATGTTGGAGCACCTGAACTTGTTTAAGCTCTTATCAAAGGAGTCCATCACTAATGAGTACACAGAATGCCTCGTCAAAAGCTTTCAATTGTAAGTGGACCCTTTGGGATGGTGAGAGAATGCCTAAGAAATGAATTGATATGGTTGCTCCTTACCATAGGTATTGGATAATCTGAAGTAAGTAGGCTTTTGGACAATAAACTTGTTTGTTGAAATTCTTTAATTCCTCTCATTCTTTTCTTCTTTTTGATGAGAATAATTAATGAGAATAATTAGTGAAACCAATTCTAGCAAAGGGATCTTTATAACTCCTTTATTTAAATATGAGCTATATACGTTTCTCCATGACCTCTCACATTTTCCCCATACATGAACATATTTGTATGTGGACATAATCATGTTGTACATATAATTTATGTCCCTTTTTTCAGGTTTAAGCTCATGAACATTTCATGTGTTTGTACACATCACAAATATTTTTGAGGATTATGTAGCAGTCCGTGAAATGACAGTGTCACTATAAGTATACTGCTTGAAAAAGATTTTGCACACATTACTTCTTTCTTTTGAGTTCTCAGAAAAAAATTCCCAGGAATTGGGGGTTCCTGGGTCAAAATTTGTAAATTTTTTTAATAGCTTGTTTTATATGCTGCTGATTGGCTCTCTAGGAAGATGGTACAAAGTACCAATTTCCTGATTTTTGTTAGCTTTGCTTTTATGTGGCAGGTATTTGCAAGTTCCGTAATCATTTTCCTAACTTTCTCTTTTAGACGGCTTGCAGGAATGGCTGCCGTAGCAATCATGGGTTGGCAACGTCTCCACACCGTCTTCCTAGTGCTCATGGTTTCCGAGGGCTGGATTTGGCAGTTCCTGCCATTGCATCTTTTGCTTTTGGGAGGTGACCTCTAAGCTGCCCCCGTCACTTGGCTACTGTTCTCCAGATTTTCTTCTTTTTTTCTTGGAAAGAGGGACATCCTCAATCTGAGTAGTAGAAAGGGGGAAAGGCAGAGGTAGGAAGAGCAGTGGCTACCACCCTAAGGCACAGGAGTAACCAGAGGAGCTTGTTTGTCCTTTCTCTAAGTCTATAGCTATTGTCACTGTTTCCCACTTCTTGCTTCTCCTCCACAGCAGATTGTGAACAGAGAAAATAAAGATGGAAAAGCCCCAAATGAGCTCATTAATTTCAACCAGAGTTGTCCTCTTGTACAACTAGTATCTTACTTGATTATGAACAAAATTATCTGGATAGTGGTGGGAAGACATTGAGGGGGTACATTTCCCTACCTCATCTCCCCTGTCTACTATTCCATGCAAGCTATCGCAAGATTAGTCTTCAGAGATTGGCTCCAGAGTCCAAATGGCAAAAGAGTAATGCACCTTTAAAATATGTAGTTTCTGGTTCTATAGATACTACTCAGCATTTTTTTTGAAACAGTATAAATATCATTGTTGCGTTCCCTTGGGTTAGGACTAAAGACTTTAATAAAAGCAGTGCCTTTCATTAGCTTGTAGTTAGTGTGTTCATGCGGTACAGCTTTTAGTAAAAATATACGTGATGAACTGCATGGATGGTGTATTATTTTTGGTTCAAAAACATGGGAAGTTGGGGTAGTGGAGTCATTTCTGGATGATGATCAGTGAAACTACAACTTTCAGGTGCCTTAAGGGAGCCTTTTTGTGGGGCTCCATGGCCAGGGTTTTGGGGCAGCTCTGCTTTTGTTTTAGGGGCTTCTGCATAATGATGAGTTTGCAAAAACCATTTAACAACTTAAAAGCATTTGAAAACCATTGAAAAATATTTCTGTTTTAATTTACCTACCTCGACATTCATCTCCTGTTTTCTTTAAAACATCAACCAAAAAAAGGATGTGAGGTAATTTTATGTCCACAATTCCCTGGGATATTTTGCTGTCATCCCTAATGTCAGAATGAGGACAAAGGGAAAATAAGGATACAAAATAGAACCAAAGACAGGAAAAAGTTAGCATATCGTTTTCTGGCAGCCAGTATTGGTAGTATCTTAGCACTAGCCCTCATCTTGAGCTGTAAATGCTGGGCAAATTGCTATGACTTTATTAAAAGGAATCCTGTACTAAATTATATTTGTGTGACCCAACAGTGGCCCACAGTGAGCACTTGTTAGCCACATTCAACATCCTTTTGGGTTAGTTGTTGGTATTTAATAGGGACATTATTTTCTTGTCAGGTAATCTAGATTTAGTGGTTGTGATTATGATTCAGGTGTGTCTCCTGGACAGACCTGCTTCTCTCTCCATGTTTGGGTTTTCAGTGGCTTAGTGTTCTAGCAAATAACTGTATTCCTGTATATGCAGGTGGTGCTGCAGCTGCTTATTAGAAGCTGTGTGATTCCAGCAGCCACTTGCCTCGGTAGAAAGCCCCACTGCCCTCCAAGTTATATCTCTTGCCTTGTTATCTAGGCTGATTATACCCCTTGTTGATCCTCATAGTCTTGTGGTAATTACCTCCTCCTCCAACCTCCCTGATCACCCCTACCTATAATTAAAGAGAAGAATGGAAGAGGGAGCATGTAGCTCACAAGCTAACAAGTGTGTTGCTGCTGCAAGAGGGGGCTGTGCACCAAACAGATTAGATCATAAGTAGAGTTGCCACGTTTTCCAAAACGTATTCTCCAAGTAGCCTTTTCAGTGTAGCCCATTTGTAGCATCACAGGAGCTGTCTGACAAACAAATACCCATGACCAGTATCAGAAGAAGTCAGAACTGTTCTGGGATTATGTATTTAAGACTTTGCAAATCCTCTTTTTTGAAATACGTCTTCCGCCAAGAAATCTTTATGGATGGCAGTGGCTGCTTGTCGATCTCCTACACAGCATTGTGTTTTGGTTTGTTTTTGTTTTTTAATCCTTCGAACACACATTTTAAACTTAATTATTCTCCTTTGTGGAAAAAATGCATATCTAAATTCACCAATTTGGACAGTGCCTATGTTAATCCTGTGTGAAGGGAAGGAACCAAGGAAGGAATTCAGTTTACTGATGTGTACTTTTTTGGCTTTCAGAACAGAATTGAAATTTAATAGTCTGTACCATTTCATAAGTTTTACTTTCAAGTGTTTTAAAAGTCATATGCATTTTATACCTTTCAACAGAGGAATTTAAATGTAAACTGAGTAATTAGCAGCTAATTATACAATGCAGATACAGCAGGCAGTTTGTTATCACAATATGGTAGATGAGAGGGGCAGCTTCCACCTTATTTTTGTATGTCTTTATAGGCCTAAAAAAAAAAAAAAAAAAAAAAAAAAAAAAACTAAAAAGTAAAGGTTGTGATATTTATATTCCCAAGCTGAGTTTCTCCAGTAAGCAATGGGAGGGATTAAGAGTTGCAGGCACTAAATTAATTGGCCTATTCTTAATGATGGGCTGGCCACCTCCAAAATGCCTACTGTTCTGTGTCACCTATGTTTTGTTTTCCATAGGGAAAGGCAGGTATGGTGAGGTGTGGAGGGGCAGCTGGCAAGGGGAGAATGTTGCCGTGAAGATATTCTCCTCCCGTGATGAGAAGTCATGGTTCAGGGAAACGGAATTGTACAACACTGTGATGCTGAGGCATGAAAATATCTTAGGTAAGTATAAGGATAACCCCCTCGTTAATTGTATCTAGGGAGAAATAATTGTCCGCCTTTGCTGTCTCCGTTTTGGTGAATGTGAATTTGAGAGTGTCTCCTAAAAAGCAATATAGGGATCCTTAGCATTTATATGCTATTTAATTTTCTCAAACACCAATTTCTTATTTAAATCTGCAAATAAGTTTAAGACTCTCTGGATGATGAAAGGAAATCCACTAGTGCTAAGTCTTATTCCTACATCTGCAGATTGTTATTTAAATAACAAAAATTTGCCCCATATTGTTCACTTCAAGGCTCATTGGTTGTTCTACTTACCCCACCCTTTTTGAATATTTATTACTTGAATCAAACTAAGAAAGATCTTTGGACTATTTCCTAGAGATTCACAGCTCCCAGGGATATCGTAATTAAATGCACATTCCCTCAAACTAGGCATCATTTTTAAAACCCAGATTTGCAGAGGGATTCAGGATACATTTTAATTTAGAAACTAAAGCTTAGCAACATTTGTGAAATATGTAAAGTGCCCGTTGAAATACTGCTATGGCAGTATAAAGGGTGAGCACACTCCTTAGGCCCATTGACTTCTATATTTTTGAAAAGTTTCTCCAAATGTGTTTATACTGATACATGTATGGTGAATGCTGCCTGGAGTGCTTCTTCAATAGTGGATATAAAGTTTATATAGAATTTAACTCTGTATAGAATAGTGTTGGCCACCTTATGGCTATTGGATTAGGTCTGGCTCATAGGAAGGCCATTGCCAAAATTTATTTCTATTTTAGCACTGCCAATTTAGTATTTAAATGAGTCAAGTTGTCTGCAAATAATGATTTGACAGTTGTCCAAAGCTTCAAAGCTTTGCTTCCGTGGTGTGGTGGTGATGTTCCATCTCAAAATTGTTTCAGTTTCTGTAGTTGATTTCTCACTTTTGCTTACCCATCGGGTCCTAGTCATCACTTAATCCTCCTCACCTCAGCTGTCAGCTTTCCCTTTCCAATTCATCTTTCCACTTGGAGTTGTCTTCCATTGGGGAGCAGAGATAATTCTGTTCAGTGTCTTTGATGGCTCCCACATTTCCTGCAACACTTGTGACTGGTGTTCAAGACTCCCTGGTTTCGGGCTCCAAGGAATCACTTAACCATCCTTTACAAGTATACCCCATTCTGTTACTACGAATACTGACCATTCTTTGAGCTCGCCACAAACATTTAGGTCTCACTGTCCTTCCTCAGGTTGCTCTTGATCACTCACTATCCCTTTCTCATCCTCCAACCATTCCTTCCTCCATCAAAACCTCTTGGCCCCCTTTAGTTTTGCCCTGTGGAATTATTTGTGCTTTTCTGCATTCCCTCACTTTGTACCTCTGTTCTAACTCTTACCACACACTGCCTTGTGTTGCCGTTAAATGTCTGTGTAACAAGAATAGCAGCAGTCGTGACAACAAACATGTAATGGATCATTACTACGCGGTAACCACGGGTGCATTATGTGCATTTTGTTATAAATCTTCACCATGACCATAAGAGAATAGATACTCTCATTTTCCCAGTTTTAAATGTTGAGGTAACCAGTATATACAGAGAGGTGAAATAGTGGAGGTGGGAATTACACCAGGCAGCCTAACTCTTAACCACAGTTTTGTACTCAAAACACAAACATTCCATAAAAGTAATCTAGAATCGTGAAGCAAATGAAGTTATATAATTCATGCTTAAGAGATAAATAGTTAAAAAAAAAAAAAACCTGATTATTTAAAAGTATTTTTTTCCTGATGGTCTAGAGCATAATTAATGGGACAGATAAAATTCTTCCCTAAGACCTAAGGGGCTTACTGAAGGTGAGATAATACAAGTGTATTTGTTTATTATTTATTTATTTAATCAGAAGCTCCTTTTTCTTGGGGGAGGAAATCAGTAGAGGCTACACAGATATATAACAGTAATTTAATTTCTTTTGAGTGGTGCTGTTAGAGTTGGGGGTATTTTTAAAGAAAATCATTAAAGATTAGTATTATTTGGTTCATAAACTGTTAAAGCAGAAACATTTTCTTTATTAAGAATAACTAATGTCCAAGAACACATTTTGATGCATATTTTGGCCAGCTAAGGGCTCCAAGAGAAGCAGCTTCAAGGGGAAAAAGCAGATTGGGGAGTAGGCAAGGAGTGGGAGACTCAGGGCTGGCCATGGGAATAGGCTTAGAGGAAGAGAGAGAAAGAAGTAGAGGGTGAAGGTGCTAAAATATTATTCAGTTTGCTTTGCATATGTCCCTCAGGCGAAAATGTGAAATTATTTTTTCTCTGAGTAGAAATCATTTGTTTGGGGACAGTATGGCGTAGTCGGTAAGAGTCTGGGTTCTAGAACCAGACCTACAGGAATCTAATATCAGTGATGTGATCTACTTACTTCGTGTGGTTTTTGGAGGATTGCATACAAAGTTCCAGGCACATAGTACTCAATAATTATTAACTGCTTCTGTTGTGGTTGCCGATGTTGATGATCAAATAGGGGACCTTTCTTGGCTCACAGAACCTTCCTATGCAAGGTATCAGGACAGCTAGCACCAAATTCAGAGTTGATAGCAACTTAAATAGCTATGTGATCCTTGGCATCTCCCAGCAGCAACTTTATTATCTGTAAAATGAGCATAATGATGTCTTTCTTACCAGCTTGTTGAGAAAAATCTCATGAGAAAATATATGTGAAAGTGACATAAATTTTATATAAAGTACTATGCAAGTATAAAGCATTTTAATGTATTTTCTCTTACATTTTCATAAGTCATTTAATTCTTCCTCAAGCCATATCCGTCTTAAAATTTTTTTTTTCTCACTTCTTTTTAAGTCCCAAACTTCACTGTCTACCAGCGTGGTTCATATATGTGAGAATAATCCTAGAAAGGCACCTCTGTAGCAGAAAAGGCAAGCACACGTCACAATTTATTTCATAAGTTAGAAAGTGCCCCTAACTTCCAGACAGTCTTCTGCATGCTCAAAAGTTCCCTCCAGATGTCTAGAAAAATCTTGTCCGGGCTGATAGCGATGGCTCATGCCTATAATCCCAGCACTTTGAGAGGCCAAGGCGGGTGGATCACCTGAAGGTCAAGAGTTTGAGACCAGCCTGGCCAAAATGGGGAAACCTCATCTCTACTTAAAATATAAAAAATTAGCCAGGTGTGGTGGCGGGCCTCTGTAATCCCAGCTACTCAGAAGGCTGAGGCAGGAGGATCGCTTGAACCCAGGAGGTGGAGGTTGCAGTGAGCCAACATCGCGCCATTGCACTCCAGCCTGGGCAACAAGAGTGAAACTTCGTCTCAAAAGAAAAAGAAAAATCTCCTCCAACCTCTTCATCCACATTTGTCAGTCTCTCACTTTACTTCAAGACCAGTTGAGTTGCTACTTCCTAATGGAAGCCTATTGTAACATCTAGTCTGAATTACTATAATTTCCTGCTCTGGGCTCACGTTGCCTTTTGAAAATATATATTATAGTACTTTTCACATTTTATTGTAATGTTTTCGTTTTTACACCTGTCTTCGGCCAACAAACACTATCATCTTGGTTTTTCTGTGTGTGACTGACAGAGAGCATCATAAATGCTCATTATATTCGGTTGGTTTCTTTTTTTATTTTGTGAATCGGTCAATCGTTTAATGTAAACTCGCCCCATTTATTTTACATCTGAGCAGACATAGTCTAGGGAGCCTAATTGAGTTGCCCAGTATTACACAAGTAAATCACAGGCAGAGTCAGGACTAGAATACCGTACTCAGGTTTTAGGTTTGGTGTTCTTTTAGGATGGTTGATGAATGGCCTGTTCCTAAAATGTCAACATGCTGAAGGGCTTGGCACTATCATTATGGGTGAGCACAAAGATATTATTGCTATCTGAATCTTAAGGAATGTAAAATATTCTTTAAAATATTGCTGATAATGAAATGAATATGAAATTTTCCTATTAGCAGTGCCCTTTTAAGGAATAAATGCTATTATTTTTCTCTGTTGATGCTTCTGTAAACCCCCTCTTAGGGCAATTGGTCAGTTTAATTACTCTTTGTTACAGATGACATTTACTGTGTAGGTTGCTGTTTCTAAATACTTAAAGTTATAATGTGGAATTCTCATGTGTATTAATTTTGTTCTTGGTCTCTTCAGGTTTCATTGCTTCAGATATGACATCAAGACACTCCAGTACCCAGCTGTGGTTAATTACACATTATCACGAAATGGGATCGTTGTACGACTATCTTCAGCTTACTACTCTGGATACAGTTAGCTGCCTTCGAATAGTGCTGTCCATAGCTAGTGGTCTTGCACATTTGCACATAGAGATATTTGGGACCCAAGGGAAACCAGCCATTGCCCATCGAGATTTAAAGAGCAAAAATATTCTGGTTAAGAAGAATGGACAGTGTTGCATAGCAGATTTGGGTAAATTTCTAAAAATATTTTTTTCATTACCAGTTTTACTTTTGTTTCCATGTTTAGCTGAGTTGCATCTCTCCCCCACAACATGTTATGCAAAATTTCAAACATGCAGAAAAGTTGAACATTTACAATGAACACCTTTATACCCACCACATAGATTCTCACACTAACATTTTACTATCCTTAAGCATTATTACGTATTTATTAATCTATTCATCTCCCCATCCATCAGTCCAACTCAACCTTTGATAGAATTCAAAGTAAATTGCAGACAAAGGAATTCTTTCTTCTGATGATTTCAGTGTGTACACTAGTAGATCGTTGACAAGAATGCATTATTTGCTTTTTCTTTTTTCAGGTAAAATTTATATACTGTGAGATACACAAATTTTAAATACTGTCTGAGAGTTTTGACAAATGTTGTAAAACCAAATCCCTGTTGAGATACAGAGTTTCCCATTACTCGTGACAGTTACCTCACTCTCATTTAGTCAGTCCCGGCCACACCCCACCTCAGAAGTAACCAGTACTTTTGAATTCTGATTTCACAAACCTTCACATAAAGTAGGTGCACAATAAATACTCTGTAGAATTAGTTTGTCTTAAAAGTGGTCTCTAAAATCATTCTGTAACCCAGGCAAAAGAATCAAGTTAAGAAATAGGAAAATAATCCCCAATGGATTCACTCTTTTCCCTGTTAGGATAGCTCATTCTTATGGTGTTAGAGTAGTACTCAATGTAGTTTTAATTGCATTATAAATAAGAGTATTTTCATGTATAGTGGCATTTTATATAAAACCGTGTTCTTCCTGGATTCCTGGAATATTGACTGAATAATTGTACTAATGAGAACTGAATTGTAATAACTATATTCAATTCAGTGAACTATTCGGGGCCCTCTACTTGATTAAACATGGTTTATGTGATATTCATATTATTGCAATTATTGTTAGACTGATAAAGGTTTAGACAAAAATAGCTTTAATTATGTAAATAACAACGTTTATTTTTGTTTGTTTTTAAACATAAGGGATTTGACATGTTAGGAAAATTTACTTCCTTTGAATCCTTTTAAAGTCTTTGCTTTTACATTGAGAAATTACAATGTTTCCCAAGCAGGAGAAGAAAGATTTTAGGATAAGCATTGAAAGAGCATGGCCCTAAAGTTTTTTGCAGGCATTTTTAGTTGTGGTGTAGACGACATCTATGGCTTATTCCATGGCTGTTACAGCCGGGGTGATTTGGGTTTAAATTCTGGCTTTCTAAATTACTAACCCTGTATATTTGTGCAAGTCTATTTATCTATTTACCTGGCCCGAGTACTGACACTGCTTTCACTCAGGGAGACAGGGACAGTGAGGGCGGAGGCGGGTGGGGTTGGGAGTTAGCCAAGAAGAACTCCAGGGTTTGACACTGTGCCCTGGACTTCACTTGAAAGGTTAGGAGTTCAAGACGAGCCTGGCAAACATAGTGAAACCCCGTCTCTACTAAAAATACAAAAAAAAGAAAAAAAAAGTAGTCGAGTGTGGTGGCACATGCCTGGAATCCCAGCTACTGGGGAGGCTGAGGCAGGAGAATTACTTGAACCCAGGAGACAGAGGTTGCAGTGAGCTGAAGTCGTGCCATTGCACTCCAGCATGGGCGACAGAGCTAGACTACATCAAAGAAAAAAAAAACAATGTGATTGTAAATTACTCATAGAACTAAAAAATAAGCCCACGTCACAGGATTCTGGTAAGGCCCAGAAATATTATAAATGTCTGGTAAATAATAAAGATTCAAGTTGTAGCTTCTGTTATAATCCAGTGGTCTGGGGAGGGTGGACAAATCGAGGGGGCTCTTGGTTTTGGTTTATGGGACTTGGTAGGGAAGGAGTTGAGGGGAACTTTGCAGTAAGTCCAGCTAATTAATTCTTCAACTACATTTCTTTTGGCTTGTAACCTTCCAATTAGATATATGGGTGTGTATAAAAATCTGTTAAGGAGTTATTATTCAGGATATGGTAAACAATGCGGTACAGGAAACAACTCTTATAAGACCATGATTTATTTATAACTTTTCAGTGTATACCTAGCAATTAAGGATTGCATATTAGAAATAGTGTTCTATGATTAATCCTGCAAAAAGGTCAGTATTTGACTGATTAATTGGTTGAGAGAGGATCTTATTCTGTTGCCCAGGCTGATCATAGGTCACTGCAGCCTCGATCTACTGGGTTTAAGCGATCTTCCTGCCTCAGCGTTCCAAAATAGCTGGGACTCCAGATGTGCACCACAACACCTGGCTAAGTACGTTTTGTTCTTAGTAGAAATGAGGTCTCACTATGTTGCTCGGGCTGATCTTGAACACCTAAGCTCAAGTGACAATCCCATCTTAGCCTCCCAAAATGTTGAGATTACAGATGTGAGCCACTGTGCCTCGCCTATTTTTCTAACTTTTTATTATTAAAAAATTCAAATGTTATAATGATCGCTTAAATCCCAAACACCTAGATTCAAAAATTGTTAAAACTTTGCCATGTTTGCTTTATCAATCTGTGGCTGTGTGTATATTTTTGCCAATCCATTTGAAAATAAAGTGTTACAGGCATCACAACACTTTACCCCTCAATACTTCAAAATTCATCCCTATTTTTATTCTATCCCAAAATTGCAAAATACTTAAAAATGCATCTTCTTCATAATCAGTTTATCATATCTACAAATTATTGATAACTCTCTAGTATCATTTTATATTCATTTTCAGTTTTTTCAAAGAAGAACTCAGCCAAAGTTTACAAATTGCATCTGGTTGTTTTGTCATCTTTAGTGTAAAAATCACTTATTAATAGGAAGAAATTACTTGTAAAATTTAGCAGCTTAAAACAACACAGATTTGTTATCTCACACAGTCCCTTCAGGGTCAGGAATCTTGGAATGACTTAGCAGTATGGTTCTGGCTCAGGGTCTTATGGAGGTTGCAGTCATCTGAATGCTCAACCGGAGCTGGAGGTTCCAACTCTATGAGGACACACTTACAGCCATGATTGGCAGCAGGTCTCAGTTCCTTGCAAGGGGACCTCTCCACAGGGCTGCTTGAATGTCTTCATAACATGGTGCATGGTGAGCTGAGAGGGACAAACAGGAAGCCTTTTATAATTTTATAGTGTCTTTTATATTCTAATTGTGAAGATACACACTGTCACTTCTGCCATATTCTATTCAGTAGTATACACTCAAAGGATGGGGAATTATGCCTCACCTGGAGATCCTAGCTGTGGTGGCCTTAAAATGTGTCCACAAGGTCTTTGAAGCTTCTCCCATCTTCTGAATATCTCCATGTTCTATTTAACCTGCACCTTTTAAATATTCTGATATTTTGACTGTTTCGTTCTGCAAATGGTGGAGGGGCATACAGTAGTCCCCTCTTTTCCATGAAATACCTTCCAATACTCCCAGTGGATTCCTGAAACCCAGGATAGCACCAGATTCTATATATACTATATTTTTTCCTGTTACATACCTACTATAGTTTAATTTATAAATTAGGTACAGTAAAAGATGAACAACAATAACATAATAAAATGGAACAATGATAGCAGTATGCCATAATAAAATTTATGTGAATGTGGTCTCTCCCAACATATCTTAATCGTACTGTACTCACCTATTTTTGGACTGTAGTTGACCGTGGGTAACTGAAGGATAAGGCGGGGACTATTGCATAGGATTTGGGAAATGTTCACAGTGTCCACAGAATCTTGGGGTTGATTATAAAAATAGGTGAAAGAGGAACACTGTCTATTTTAGTCTAATGCAATTGCCAGTATCTTTGCTAATTATTAAGGATGAGATAAGGTGTGCTAGCTCCCTGATGTTACATGAAATTGTCATCCCGCACATTCAAAGCTGTGGAGTGGAAGGTGAAGCATTCTCTGTAGTCGGCTTGAGAGATCACCAAGGGATATTTGCATTGCAGTGGTTTACAGGGACTACTTGCTCCAGTTTGGCACTTTTCATTACAACAAATGTTATAGGAATCATTTTCAGTCAGTCTGCATATGCGTCAATAACATAAAGTCATCCACAAATACAGCATGCATGTATCTGTCTCCCCACTGGCCAGTGAAGAAAGCCTGTCTCCCTAATTGACTGAGGAATTCTGGAATGAGTCATGGTTTAAGAAAGCATTTGAAAGCCATTTAACCTTTCATTTAACCAGAGTTCTGCTTTCAACTGAGGTCCAGTTAAATGCTGTCTGTTTCCATGATTCTAGAGAAAGGCTTGTGGGTTTGGTCAGCATTATTGCTCAGATAAGCAGCTCTTCCTTTAGGAATAAAGCAGTGCTTATAGCAATCTGCCCTTTATGTAGTGATAAATTACTTTAAATGCTCTGTCTCACACTGTTGGAAATTTGTGTTTGGAGACTAGTAAGAGCAGTGGTGGAGCTTGAGAGCTTAATTTGCTTCTTGTTAAGCCACTTAGAGGCTCACATTTAACATGTGAGCCTGTTTTCCTGTGGACTTCAAACACTGGCCACGTTGGTTTAGTGCATTGGTCTACCATTTACCCAAAACTGTGTCTCTTTGAGGTTCATATATTAACCTAATAGCCTCAGAATGTTTCTGACATTTAGTCCCTTTTCTGCTGTCACCCCAGAAATAATCACAAAGGGCATTCTAGGGATTATTCTGAGTGTAATGCAACAGTGACCCTGAATCCATAAGAGGGCACTTTTGATTGGGGTTGGTTTAAAATCCTTCAGCAGCCCCTTATGAGAAAGGAAGTGGTTTGATTACATTGTTATCTTCTTCCTTTCAGGCCTGGCAGTCATGCATTCCCAGAGCACCAATCAGCTTGATGTGGGGAACAATCCCCGTGTGGGTACTAAGCGCTACATGGCCCCCGAAGTTCTAGATGAAACCATCCAGGTGGATTGTTTCGATTCTTACAAGAGGGTCGATATTTGGGCCTTTGGACTTGTTTTGTGGGAAGTAGCCAGGCGGATGGTGAGCAATGGTAGGTATCTAATCTAATATTGTCTTAATCCAAGCTCTCTTGATCCAGCTACCTTTAAAAGGACTGAAGGGACTATTGAAGTTCACATTGTTCTTTGAATCATACTTGTCAAGTTATAGGCATTCATATTTGATTTATGGCTGGTAGATGGAGTGTAATGACTTTTATGTTTGAAATACACCACAGTAAGTGATGGTTGAAACCAGTATTTCTGGAGAGACCAGCCATTCCTTGGTTTTTCTTTGGATTTGTTTCATATTTCTTTTCTTTTAAATTTAAAAAATTGATATGTAATACTTGCATTTATGGAGTACATGTGATATTTTGATAAATGTATATAATACGTAGTGCTCAAATCAGGGGATTCAGGCTGTACATCACCCTGAACTTTTATCTTTGTGTTGGGAACATTCAAATAGTCTCTTCTAGCTATTTTGAAATATATAGTATATTATTGTCAACTATAGTCATGCTACTGTGCTGTTGAACATTAGAACCTATTTTTTCCATCCACCTCTATGTTTGTACCCATTAACCAATGTCTCTTCATCCCACTGCCATCCTCACCCGTATTCCCCAACCTTCTCAGCTTCTGGTAACTATCATTCTATTCTCTACTACCATGAGATCAACGTTTTAGCTCCCATATATGAGTGATAACTGGCTGTATTTGTCTTCCTGTATCTGACTGATTTCATTTAACATAATGACCTCCAGTTCCATCCATGCTGCTGCAAATGACAGGCTTTCATTCTTTTTTGATGGCTGAATACTACTCTATTCATGTATATTTACCACATTTTCTTTATCCGTTCATCCATTGATGGTCTCTTAGGTTGATTCCATATCTTGTATATTGTGAAGAGTGTTGCAATAAATATGGAAATGTAGATATCTCTTTGATATACTGATTTCCTTTGCTTTGGATAAATACCCAGTAGTGAGATTACAGGATCTGATGGTAGCTATATTTTTAGTTTTTTGAGAAATCTCTATACTGTTTTCTATAATGACCCTATTCGTTTATATTCTCACCAACAATGTATAAGAGTTCACTTTTCTCTGCATTCTCACCAGCATTTGTTATTTTTTGTCTTTCTGATAGTAGTCATTCTAATTGGGGTAAGATGATATCTCATTGTAGTTTTGACTTGCATTTCTCTGATGATTAGTGATGTTGAGAATTTTTTCATGTACTAGGTGGTCATTTATATGACTTCTTTTGAGAGATGTCTGTTAAGAACCTTTGCTCATATTTTAATGAAATTATTTTTTGTTGTTGTTGTTGAGTTGTTTGAGTTCCCTGTATATTCTAGATGTTAGCCTCCTGTCAGATGAATAGTTTGTAGATATTTTCTCCCATTCTACAGGTTGTCTTTTTGCTCTATTGATTGTTTCCTTTGTTGTATAGAAGCTTTTAAGTTTAATCTCATTTGTCTATTTTTGTTTTTGTTGCCTGTGCTTTAGAGGTCTTAGCCATAAAATCTTTGCCTATACCAATGTCATCAAGTGCTTCCCCTGTGCTTTCTTCTAGTATTTTTATAGTTTGGGGTCTTAAATTTAAGTCTTTAATTGGTTTTGAGTTGATTTTTTTTTTTCTCTTTTTTCTTTTTTTTTTGAGACAGAATCTTGCTCTGTCACCCACACTGGAGCGCACTGGTACCATCTCAGCTCATTGCAACCTCTGCCTCTGGGGTTCAAGCCTCCTGAGTAGCTGGGATTACAGGCGTGTGCCACCACACGCAGCTAATTTTTTTATATTTTTAGTAGAGACAGGGTTTCAGCATGTTGGCCAGGCTAGTCTCGAACTCCAGACCTCGTACTCTGCCCACCTTGACCTCCCAAAGTGCTGGGATTACAGGCATGAGCCACCACGCCCGGCCGAGTTGATTTTCTTATGTGGTAGGAGATAGGAGTCTGATTTCATTCTTCTGCATATAGCTATCCAATTTTCCCAGCACCATTTATTGAAGAGGGTATCCTTTCCCCAAATTATGTTCTTGGTGCCTTTGTTAAAAAATATGTGGATTTATTTCTGGTTTCACTATTCTGTTCCGTTAGTCTATGTGTCTGTTTTTATACCAATACCATGCTGTTTTGACTACTATAGTTTGATGTAATATATTTTGAAGTCAAGTAGTGTGATGCTTCCAGCTTTGCTCTTTTTGCTCAGTATTGCTTTGGCTATTTGGAGTCTTTTGTGGATTCATACAAATTTTAGGATTGTTTTCTCTGTTTCTATGTAGAATGTCACTTGTATTTTGATAGAGTTTGCTTTGAATCTGTAGACTGCTTTGGGTAGTATGGTCATTTCAATATTCATTTTTCCAGTTCATGAGCATGGGATGTCTTTCCATTTGTTCGTATACTCTTCAACTTTTTTCATCAGTAGTTTTTCTTGTAGAGGTTTTTTACCTCATTGGTTGAATTAATTCTTAGATTTTTTTTTTTTGGTAGCCATTGTATATGGGATTGCCTTCTTGATTTCTTTTTCAGCCAGTTTGTTATTGGTATATAGAAACAGTACTGATTTTTGTATGTTGATTTTTGTAACCTGTAACTTTACTGAACTTATCAGTTGTAAGATATTTTGGTGAGTTTTAGTTTTTTCTAGATAAAAGATTATGTCATCTGCAAAGAGGGACAATTTGACTTTCCTTTTTCCATACTGAGTGCCTTTTATTTCTTTGTCTTGCTTGATTGCTCTGGCTAAGGCTTCTACTACTATTTTGAATAAGAATGGTGAAAGTAGGCATTTTTGTCTTATTCCAGTTCTTAGAGAAAAGGCTTTCAGCTTTTCTCCATTCAGTATAAATTTATCTGTGAGTTTGCTGCATATGGCCCTTATTATGTTGAAGTTTGTATATTCCTTCTATACCTGCTTTGTTGAGAGTTTATATCATGAAGGGATGTTGAATAGATACAGAATTTTTCTGCATCTATTGAGATGATCATAAAGTTTTTGTCTTTGATTCTGTTGATGTGATATATCACATTAATTGATTTGCATATGTTGAACCTTCCTTGCATCCCAAGGATACATCCCACTTGATCATGATGTGTTATCTTTTTGATGTGTTGTTGGATTCAGTTTGCTTGTATTGTGTTTAAGATTTTTGCATCTATGTTCATTGGGGATATTGGCCTGTAGTTTTCTTTTTTTTGTTGTGGTGTCCTTGTCTGGTTTGGTATCAGGGTAATTCTGGACTCAGAATGAGTTAGGGACAATTCAATACTCTTCAATTTTTTTGGAATAGTTTGAGAAGAATTGCTGTTAGTTCTACTTAAGTTTGGAAGAGTTCAGCAGTAAAGTCATCCAATCCTAAAGTTTTCTTTATAGGGATACTTTTTATTACTGACTCGATCTTGTTACTTATGGTCTGTTCAGTTTTTAAATTTTCTTTTGGTTCCATCTTGGTAGATTATATCCATTTCCTCTAGGTTTTCCAATTTGTTTGTAATAATCTCTGATGATTTCTGTATTCCTGTGGTATCGGCTATAATGTCTTCTTTTTTGTTTCCGATTTTATTTACTTGGGTCTTCTCTCCTTGTTTCTTGGTTAGTGTAGTTAACGGTTTATCAGTTTTGTTTACCTTTCCAACAAACTTCTTATTTCATTAATCCTTTGTATGATTATTACTTTTTGGTCTCTATTTCGTTTAGTTTTGCTATGACCTTTCTTACTCTATTAAATTTGGGTTTGGTTTGTTCTTGCTTTTCTAGTTCCTTGAGGCTCATCTTTAGTTTGGACTCCTTCAACTTTTCTGATGTAGGTGTTTATTGCTACAGACTTATCTGTTATCACTTTTTTTTTTTTTTTTTTTTTTGAGACGGAGTCTCGCTCTGAGGCCCAGGCTGGAGTGCAGTGGCCAGATCTCAGCTCACTGCAAGGTCCACCAACCGGGTTCACGCCATTCTCCTGCCTCAGCCTCCCGAGTAGCTGGGACTACAGGCGCCCGCCACCTCGCCCGGCTAGTTTTTTGTATTTTTTAGTAGAGACGGAGTTTCACCGTGTCAGCCAGGATGGTCTCGATCTCCTGACCTCGCGATCCACCCGTCTCGGCCTCCCAAAGTGCTGGGATTACAGGCTTGAGCTGTTATCACTTCTTTTGTTGTATCCCATGGGCTTTGGTATATTGTGTTTCTGTTTTTATTTGTTTCAAGAATTTTTTTTATTTCCTTCTTAATTTCTTCATTGACCCAGTGGTTGTTCGGGAGCATGTTTTTATATTTCCATGTGTTTGTACAGTTTCCAGAGTTTCTCTTGTTATTGATTTCTAGTTTTATTCCATTTGTTGAGACTTGTTTTGTGGCCTAACATATGGTCTATTCATGTGCTGATGAGAATAATGTGTATTCTGTAGCTGTTGGATAAAATGTTCTGTAAATGCCTGTTAGGTCCATTTGGTGTAAAGTACATTTTAAATCCAATGTTTCTTGGATTTTCTGTCTAGATGATCTGTTCAGTGGTAAGAGTAGGATGTTGAAATCCCCAACTATTATTGTGTTGGAGTCTGTCCCTTTAGGTTTAATAATACTTGCTTTGTATAAAAATGCTCCAGTGTTGGGTGCATATATATCTAGAATCATGATATTCTCTCTCCCCTTATCATTATACAGTTGACCTGGCACATCACAGGTGTGAACTGCATGATTTTTTCAACCACACGTGAACAACAACAAAAATACATTATTTGTGGGATGCAAAACTGAGTATATAGAGGGCCTACTTTTTGTATCTGTGGGTTTCACAGGACCAGCTGTGGTACTGAGTATGTATATATTTTGGTTTAGACTGGGGTCCTGAAACCAATCCTCCATGTATACTGAGGGACCACAGTATAATGACCTTTTTTGGTCTCTTTTTACAGTTTTTGGCTTAATGTCTGTTTCATCTGATACAAGTATAGCTACTTCTGCTTGCTTTTGGTTTTCATTTGCATGGAATATCTTTTTTTATCCCTTCACTTTCAGTCTATATGTGCCTTTACAGGTGAGG